CACAGAATACAAATTTGGGATGAGTAAGTGGATTCAAGTCACAGGAGCAAGCACTATGGGGTAATCTAAAAGTTCAAGGGTATGACAACTTCACGGGGACTTAAAACCAAAGTTCCAAATTTCCTAAAAGGCTCTTTTTTTTTTGTAAAATCCCAAGAGAGAAGTTTATTTGTTTCACACAGGTTTATCTGCTTCCTTTTAAAGCTGACATAGGACCTGTTTGCACATGAGCACTAGCTTTCTGACTTGAAAGAAAGTATCCCACTTTATAATAGGAGAGATTTTTCAACTGTCCCAATTTTAAAACATACAAGTTCTTGAAATCAGTATGAACGTCAGTGCTTCTCAAGAAACCACCAATTTATTAAAGTTTTAAGACTACGGGACAGAGCACAGGATGAGATAAGGAAGGATTATTAAGTCAAATTTCAACGAGAGGGGGAAAAATGATGACGAAAATCAGTTTTACTTAATTATCAAAGCACAAACTGATCCTGTGTGAAAAGGGGCCTGATTTACACGGCCACACAAGTTCTCAAAAACACACAGCTGAAGCTGTGGCCGCTGAGCCATGGGTAAGTTCAGAGAAGCCATCAGAGCTGTAGTGTCTAAGGACACCTAAGGACTAACACCATGCCTTTGCTCTCAGGTTTTCATAGCTGTGAGGCACTGGCACTGTCCTGACTAACGGTATCTCATACTGAAGACAAGTACCACAACCTTGGAAAGCATGAGCCTTTCTCACCACCTATACTCCACATAAATTGCAAGGGTTTAGGTAGAGCCCAAATAACACCTGTTTTGGTACTACTCCATCACTATGAATATGAAATAGCCATTAGTGCTACCAAAGCTTGTATGTGAGCCCTGTGAGAGAGATGTAACTTCACAACCATGACAAAGTCATCTCGGCTTAAAGCAGGTTGATTCTGCCTTCTTTCGTCTGTTCCATGAAAGGATCTGGTGTCACTCGATCACAGAATATTTCCTTCTAGATTTTATTTTCCAACAGTCAAGGCTTAGGGATTGCAAATTTATACATGGTTTACTGATTTCATCCTCTTACTCTCTGATGACAATGTTTCAAAAATAAAACTCAAGGCATCCAAGTATATTTAAAGATAATAGACAGTAGGTGTGCTAAGTATTATTACAGTATACTTTATAAATTAATCTTTAGCCAAAATCCATTGAGAAACACATGAGATAAATCTTAGATGAGCCTGTTAAACAATGATTGTCCTAGAACTGATAGTTAATCTGCAGTTACAAGGATTTACGGGATTTATGTGTCTCCTACAAGGTATTTCTATGTTTACTGCATTTACTGCAGTATACAGGCTGCATTTGCACCTAAAGTTGGATATAGTTGTGAGACATTATTACACTATTGATAAATCTGAAAAAAGACAACCCCCTTTAAAATACATTGTACTGTTAAAGTACAGTACTTCTATAAGAGTTAAAGCTAAAAGAGTACAATAATGAGGAAACCCTTCTTCTTTTCTCATCTGACCCCATATGCACAGGAAAACTGGAACTAAAGATACTGCATTTGACTAGTACCCACTTCATATGAATGCACATTTGACACCTAACAGAAAAGGAATAAAAGGAGAAAGGAAAGCAACTCAACCTAAGGTACTACAAGAAAATAAATGGATAATGTATATGTATATGTATATATATATATATATGTATGTATATTTTTTTAAAACTCCATAGCAACAAAATAAAAAATTATTTACATAGATTTACAACTAGATGAGCTCCAGATGTATTTTTTAATCTACTCTCCACAGGTGTTTTTCTGCTTAATAAACATGACAGCCAAGTTGGACGATTGGTGGAACATTGAATCACCTGATTTTGGCTATGCTGTTAACTATTCTGCTGTTAACTATTTTTAGCTAATTCCTAATCAAGCAGCCGCTACTGAAATCCTAAGTACACAGGCTTGGCACAGCCAGAAAGAAAAAGTGCAGTACACAGATTTGTTTCTTCTGTTTTCCTAAAACAGAATCTCATAAAAAAATATGCCCTCAGATTCTGTCATTCTGTAGCTGTCAAAAAGAGCCATTCTGTTCCTGTTCATAACTCTGAACATTAAAGCCATCTCTTATGCTACTGGGAAGTGATGTAGCTCCAGGAAGTCAGGAGACACCATCACAACTGCTCAAATTGTATCCAGGCAGAATAATCTGTCAATTGGAGCCTTTGCTTGCAGTTGAGATGGAAGCTATTTGGGCCAACTTGGACAAGAATAGAGAATAAGTTTGACTTGACTGCCAAGCTCACTTCCAGGACATTGGCTAATTAATTATAAAAGTCTTTTTCAAAACAAATGTGAGCCTGGCAACCTTTTTCTTCCTACTCAGACAGAGAAAAAACAGGTTAAAAAAATCAAGCCTGGGCTTAACCATCATTCCATCTAATTTGCAAGTCTACTTTTTTTCTTGCCCTCAAATGATCTGGAATCTTTTATATTCACATCAACTAAAAGAATAGGTTATAAAAAGTGGGTCCATTAGTCTAAACTCTCCCTCTACCTTTTCCTGGAGAAGAGACACTGGATCAGTTACAAAGTTCTTCCAGCTCTTTGGCAAGAAGCAAAATACCAGTTGCTTCCTTTTCTTGGGAGGAAAAACTCATTGGACGAACTATGGCTACTGTAATGGTTACAACTGAAAAGAATAATTGCTCTTATAATGGTGTATTCATCAACTTCCATTTGCTGGCCTTGTAAACAAGAACAACACTAAATTAAATTTCATGGCGTCATGTTGACTAGAACCTTGGTAACTATGAGAAGTATCTCACAGGCAATGAAGAATCTCATTTGAAGGACCTCAAGCATGCAAGTTCTATAGCAAAGTCAACACTCTATAATTACAATATTCCCACATTATTTCTTCCAATCCTAGAATCAAAATCTTCTGCAATTTGTCCAGCTACGAAAAGACCTAAGAAAGTAAGACTTTTTTCTCAGCTATTGAATTCCTAGCTAGAAGAAAACTGTTCCTAATAAAAATAAGTCTTATTCAGCAGCCTGACAACTAGCTTATCCTAACCTTAATCACTGTAGTACCCTATTCAACACAGAGATCCCTAGAAAACAACACAGATAATCAACATTGTTTGGTAAATACCAAATGGTTTTCTATGGCCTAAATCATCCACCATATAGGTATGTACCTATCTATGCATCTATATCTAAATGAAGTTCTTGATTCTTTCAGGTGGCAGACAGATGTAAGAAAAGAGAAGGGATCTATCAGGACTAAAATGAGGAGAAAAATCAACCTCATTTCAAAAGAAAGGTGAAGTAACATAATCAGTCCTGATCAAAACAAAAGTTCTCTTCTGGGAAATACAAAAAAAAAAATGAAGCTAAGAAGAGTAATACCAGCTCTCAGAGGATCTTAAAAGTCTTACAGGAAGTTTTCAACTTAACCTGATGATAAGCCATTATAAGTTTCTAAGCCAGTGTAGAAAAATGAGGACAATAATGTGAAAAGTATATTAAATTGAGAAAGAAATGGAACAAGGGATTAGGTTCAAAGATTCATCTAGCAATCCAGATCTCAGAGGATGAAAGCCCTATCAGATGATGGTGGTAAGAAGAAAGCAGAAAGGCTCCAAGAGTCATCTCATAAGAAAGAATGCAATTTCACCTTTCCTGTACTTTTTAAAATTTACCAAGCCCTGTAAGCCTGTGTCATTACTACAAGTGCTGCCGGTTAAAGAGGAACACTGTCATAAATATTGCTTCTAAGGAGAAAAAAAGCCATGTGTGAAAAGAATCTTCAAAGCAAGATTAAAAGAGAGAAAAAGCAAGAAGGAATAAGGTCATAGAAAAGATACACAATTACCATGTCAAGCATGAAGGCAACTAAAGTAAGTTGTAAGAGTAAGAATCCGAATACTTGATTCTTCAAAGTGAAGTATTATTGTGGTCCCCATACACCTAGCCAGTTTTAAAGGAAGTACCAAGGCCCAGAACTTCTGGCTTCATGTAGTGTGCTACTTTCCCTAAAGCCTGTGGAAACAGGCTGGGATTTCTATCATTTTTGAAACATGGTACTTTTATTTCTCTGAAGCTTTATGTTTTCTGTTTAGAACTGAGGTTTGAACTTAAGGCCTTGTACCTACTGGGCAAGTGCTCTACCACTTGAACAAACTACACTCCAACCCTTTTGCTTTCTATATTTTTCAGATAGGATATTGAACTTTTACCCAGGCCAGCCTCAAACTACCTCCACCAATCACACAGACAGGTGTCTACCACCATGGTCTGCTTCCTTTTCGAGCTAGAGTCTCACTAACTGTTCCCAGGCTAGCCTTAAACCACCGGCCTCCTGTGGTTCATCTTTCAAGTAGTTAGCACTGCCCAGCTAGAAATTTTTTTAAATCAGGAAAAATCCTTCCAGAAATATCAGTATGTTTCATTTTTGAAATGTAATTTTTCCACAGACACCTATCTAACTGGGAAAGAAATGGCACTGTTTTTGCCCTATTCTTTTCCAAAGAAACCAAAGGAAGGTTCAAAATTCCACTGTTGTTTGATACAAAGAGGCTTACTATATGCCTTAACAAGTAAATGAACAGCTACTGAGACAACTGTCACTGCCTTTGCCTAAGCATCTCTCCTCCCAAATTATTAACCCTTTAGAATTGACCAAAACATATTTTCATAAATATCTCATTTAATCACCACAATAAACCTAAGGTAGAAGTTTTACTGCCTGAACCAACTGTATGTAGCACCAAGGGTAAAGTTGCCTAAGTAAATGAATCACAAAGGCGGGAATCAACTCACATTTTTCTCCTCTGACTCCAGATCCCAACACATTTGTCAATCTTCCCTCAGAGAAAGTGCAAGCCCCCTTCTACACATGGTCTTTTTAGTAGGAGGCAACCATCATCTTTAATCCTTTCTCAGTATCTATTAGATACACATCCAGGCTGACATTTCAAACAGACAAGGATGTTTTGCTTACCTGGTCTTTCTCTGGCTTATCAGAAATGTCATTCAGACTGGAGGAAGTCAGATTCCTATGGGTCATGGCTGGACTACCTGGAAAAACAAAAGTGAACTCTAATTAGAGAGTTCTTTTCAGGAACACAGACTTTGGCTGCATGCTTCATAAACACTAGTAGATGAGGATGGGAATGATGACGATGCTGTTTTACCACATGAGGATGCTCCTGAAGGTATCCAGAGCTCAGATTGGGTTCACGTATGGCTAAATATAAAGTATATTAAGCCCCAAATACTTTAAATCATACTTTCTGGTTCTATAGGAAGGCAAGTAGAATGTTGGAAATAAATTTCTAAAACCATAAGCATAAAAATAAATTCTCCTGATTTGACTTAATTTTTCTCACTACCTTTTATATCCTTGCATACTAACCTACTTGGCTTCTTTTCCTTCTCTTAAGGCCTACAGAGAGTAGCTCTTCCCTCATCAGGCCTGTACATTCTATAGACATCTACATCTTACTAGAAGACCACTCAGGTAAGCCCCCAAAAGCGACCTGCCTTCATTTTCTTGCAGACAAATTGATCATAAATAATACTCTTAAATGGATTAGTTTCTGGTCCAGAATCCACTTAAGATGGTGTTATTTAGGTTCATTACTTTTCTGACTTTCTATTTGCCTGTCATTCACATAACCAACCCCTCCTTCAAGTCAAAGGATGAAATTCAACAGAAATACTACATGGCAACTAATCTTACATGGCAACTATAGGTAAGATTCACTGGTGATCTACCCAATTGTTTCAGATCCTGTCACAACACACAGAGAGAGAAGAAACAGAAGAACCACAGACTACTTTCACATGGGTCAGACTGATCAACAGAATACTGAACTTTCATTCTACAGTTGGAACTGAAATTTCTGGGCTTACTAAGCAAAAGAGTAACTTTTCAAAGCCAGGATGTTTGACCCAATCCCTGCAGGTGCTGAGTAATGCATTCATTATTAATCCTCACTGATCTGACTCAGGCTAGTCTCCACAGCAAGAGGACAAGGGTTGAAAAGAAGCACTGAAGTTGAAGTGCAGCTCCACACTGGCTTTCAAATCATTCTTTAGATTACAGGATTTAACTTCTCCAGCTAGAGACTCCAGCACATAATTTTACCAAAGACTAAAATCTACTCCTAATAAGTTAATGTCTATGTAACAGCAGCTCCTTAAATAACACAATCATGTTTAAATACTAGATCAGAAAAATCATAGTTTTCTGAGCAGGCAAGACAGGATATTTTCCACTCTGCTGCTTTTCATTGTGTAAGCATGGCCTAGATTGCTTAAAATCCTTTACCTGGTAGGATGTTTTATTGTAGGAAAATCTGAGCACAGGGCATTATTGAAAGGAAAGTAATCTTTTTTAAAGTGCTCTATCAGCAAAATTAAAAAAAACTTTAAAGCCCATATTTTATTCTTTAAACTGTATTCTAAAGTTCTAGTGTCCATTCCATACAGTAGACAACATGTATGAATCTGAATGTTACAAATAATACTGAGATGGAAACTAATAGAAAATGATGAATAGGTATAATTTTGTACTTCACGTTTACAAAAAGAGTTATTTGGACTAACTAAATGAAAGTTCTTCATGAATAAGTAAAAAAGAAAAACTCTTGAGTTATATATTCCTGAAGCAAGGAAGTCTTAACAATTCTAATCACACTTAAAGGTAAAGCAGCTTGTATACATGAATACATAACATCTATTTCTAAATATCCAATGAACTGTATATATAAAAAAGTAGCAGTACTGAAACAATCTGAAAGTAGTTCTTCATTAGACAAATCAAATTTCATGAGCAATAGCCTATACTTTTTGAATGATTTGGGAAGTATTTTGTAAATACTGGAAAGGTAGACTACTGTCTAGATTCTGTCATAATTGATGTAAAACCTGATAGATAAAAAAATAAAAAAGGTCTTTATTATAATGGTAAACTTGGTAGGTGCGACATTCTGGCTAAGAAACCTCATATACTGTCTCATCATTTTTTCTCTTTCTGAAAGAAGATATGGAAACGAGATGAAAAGAGGAGACTGGTGTTAAAAAAATTGAAATCCTAAACTTCATCTTATTTCCAATAATAAAGGTAAGTAACATTAACGGCTTCATTAGCCTCTAATTTTGCAATATACCTTATGAACTCAGAAGTCAATTCCAGGTAACTAAGCAAGATGATGGATTTTCCAATCTTTTTTCATCTCCCTCTTTATCAAACTCATCTTCCCCACTCCTCAACACATTGAGATACAACTAGAGATACACAGGGCTCCTCAAACTCTATACCAGTAGGTACCAAAGAGAGAAAGGTACTCATGGTCAGCTTTCAGTAGAAATGCCAATTCTTGTTTGTTTGTTTTTTTTCTTTTTTGTGCTGAGGCTGAGGTTTGAACTCAAGGCCTAGACGCCCTCAGCATTTTTTTGATCCAGGTTCTACCAATGGATCCACAGTTCCACTCCTAGATTTCTGGTTGTTAACTGGAGATAAGAGTCTTACAGTTTTCCTTCCCAGGCTGAGCTTTGAACCTCTATCCTCAGATCCCAGCATCCTAGTGGCTACGATTACATGCATGAGCCACTGGCCCCTGGCTAAAGGCTCATGAGGCGCATGCCACACAGATGCTGGGTATGGGATGTATCAAACTAAGTGGTTCTGAAGTATGATAAAGACTGACAGCCACTGTCCACAATAAAAGCCATCCTAATAGGATGTGTCCCACTAGAAATCTTTTGAGTTTTAATCAGCAAATATAGTTGGAGTAGGCAAAGGGTCAAATCCAATAACTTGCCCTCCACTAAGCCACAGCCCTAAACTCTCCTATCCCATGTAAATCAGTAAATTGGTACCCTCACTACATCTATACACACACATGCGCGTGTGTGCATGCCCTTACCACACTGAGCTTTGCCTCGGAATCCTCATCTACAAAACCAAATAAAGAAGTTTGTTTTGGAAACTCACTGAATAGCCTTTTCTAGAGACATCTTACCCAAATCAAAGAAGACAGGGCAAGAGTCATGGTAGGGAGAAAACAAAGGAGGTGACAACAACGTTTGATAAAAAATGTACTCATTACCTCGTTCGTGTAATTGTAACCCCTCCTCTGTACAGTATTCTCATAATAAAAAACTTATTAAAAAAAAACAAATTACAAACCAGATTATATGGAAGATTCAGAAATCTGTTTGTGGATTTTAATAAACCTAGGAAGCTGTTATACAACGGGCTCTGAACAACATTCTATTGTGAGCATTTGCAATGAACATTGCACTAGGATAATGCGAATTGAGACATGGTATTAGAATAAAACAGTGCTTTACATTTAGTTTGGGCCTGTAATGTTAACTACAATATGGTTCTGCTGAGTGAGCAGAAGGACTAGAACAAATGGTCACCTTGTGTTCCATTCAGGTGAAGTATGAGGGTACCCTAAAATAAGTAAAGTATATGACTTTTGGAGGTATATGATGCTTTATGCCAAGCTACCACTACTAGTCCCTTTCTATTGCCAATCCAGGGCACACAAATGTCTTAGGATTGTTGTTGGCCCAAAGAAACTCTCTTTTATAAAGTCTGATTTTAGAAATGAGAAGAGCCAATCTTGACTGCACAGTCATAATTAATTTTCATGTCACTGTTTTCAGGCCATCAGAAAAAAAGAAAGCTTTAGAAAAATCACATTTTCAAGCAGCTTCACACAATCAAAAGTGATTTCATTTTCAGAGTACCCATTTGGCAGGTACATACTGTTTCTATAAAAATTAATTACATTCTGTACTGTTTGAAAAAAAATCACCATTACTCTTTAGCATACATGTAGCAACTCACAAAATCCTTTGCAATTATATCTATTAGATGTAGTAAGATGAAAAGTATCCAGCATTAAGAAAAATTACATTAAGTGTATATATAAAAATGTAACTATGTATGTAATACAATGACACAAACTCCCTACCCCATACACATTCCTCATATCTCCATTATGAGCCAACAGGAACATAAAACAAAAAACAAAGATTTATCATGGTCTTGTGGCTGGGATGAAGATTAGGTTCTTCATTCTTTAGAATAACTGAAGGCCTAGAGCTTTGCTCAGTGGCGGAATGCTTGCCTAGAATCCCCAATAACACCAAAGCAAAACAAAAATATGAAAGAAATCATCTAATCACTAGACATATTATGTCAGATATGGTGGCACTTTCCTGAAATTTCAACAGGAAAATGGCAAAGTCCAATGGCAAAGTACCATGCAGTAAATCTGGGCTATATGGTAAGACTGTCTCATCAAAATGAAACAAAACTGAGGAAACTTACAGATAATGGACATGCAAGTAAATCTAGGTGTTCACAGAGGAAGATATAAGTCTGATATATACTGCTTGGGAACACAAAACTAAGCATATGTGGTATGTGGTACCGGAGACTACATATGCTACAGTTTGGATCTGCAGTGTTCCCATAGACTTGTGCTAACTTAAAGGGTTTTGGGTTTTGTTTTGTTTTGTTTTCAGTCTGAGGCTAGAACCTGAGCTCAGTACCTGGTGTTTTCATCCACTGGCTAGCAATCTACCAACTGAGCCATACTTCCAACCTCTAAATGAAGCTCATTTCCAAACCTGTGGTGCTACCAGAAGACAGTGGGAATTAAGAGGTCGGGTCTAGTAATGGCATGGGCGCATGCCATTGAAGGGAAAGTTGGGAATGAAGCAGTTCCTCTCTGTCTCGCTCACTCTGCTTCCCTTCTGCCACAAGCTTCCACTATAATGTACCATATAATGACCATGGACTGAACTTCTGAAGCAGAGCCAAGAAGGCCTTTCTTCCTTATCTGTCCTATAACTCCACAGTATCCTCACTGACTCTTACATGGCTTCCTTTTCATGCCTTTTGAGAACCTACAAAAACATGCCCACATTCAAGACAGATGAGCAACTAGTCTTTCTAAGTACTAACTGCTTTAACTTGCATGTCTTACTTAATCTTCCTATCAATTCTGAGAGGCTAGTAACAAATGAATGTCAAGGAGGTTAAGCTTATG